GTCCATTTTCAATAATTTAATCAAGTAACAATATTTGAACGTGTGGCGAAATAAAGCACACCGCATTATATTATACTATATAGCATATTTATTAAATTATTAAAATCGGTTGAGCTATTTTGGAGATTATGAAATAAATTATAAACGAAATCATTATCATCATCACATCATCATCATCACACAGAATTTCTATATATTTTCACGATTTACAACCGCCAAAACTCTTAAATAAATTAATCAAAATTCTTCATAATTTTTCATTTTACTCCAAAAATTTCTTCAACTAAACACCTAAATGAGAATACCTTGGAGAAACTTTGGAGAAATGGATTCTCCAAAAATTTCTCTAGAACACATAATTTAACTCAAAATTGCGAAAAGAAATAGCCAATCTGGCAACGCTAGTGTAAAACTACGACTCCGGGCCTTCCGAATCGCGAGGCCCCGTCTTCAATTATGTAGGCGGTATAAATAAATAATGATCCCTTTCTTGGCTTCTTTCTATGAAGGATTTCAATAAATTATACCTACAGATAAAGTACCTATTCTGTCAATTTGCTTCTGAAATCGGCCATGCGCTGTCGTATTATACACCTATTTATTGTTCAAGATTGAAAGGAATATAATAGAAATAGATACCTAATGTTTATGTAGGTAGGAAAGGGATTGTTAGTAATGCGGACAAATACTACAATTACTAGCAATATGCCCTATCAGATCGACCTCCACACGGCTTCCCCTGGAAACGTTCATCATTAATTAGTGCAGTTTACTAGGCTTTACTTAGGCTAACACAAAGTTAAACATTAAGTCTTCACTAATTGTATAATTGTAAGAGCTGTATACAGCTCTAATTGATATGTTCATATGGCCTTAAGCTTAGAAGGGAGGAATGAGATGTTTTTGTTCAAGTAAACTTAGATTTAAGCATATTTTTTTTTTATACAACTTAGAATGGCAAACAAGCTGACGGCCCACCTGATGGAAAGTAGTAACCGTCGCCTACAGACATGAGCAGTAGCATGGACATAACAGAGTATACTGTTTCGCCCATGATACCCCCCATGCGTTGCCATTCCTGAGGACTCAGACGTTATTCCTCCGTACCCAGTAAATTCACGCCATATCCCATCCTTCAAAATCGAAACGCAGCCATGCAAACACAACTGCTTTACGGTTGAAACACGAATGCGACAGAGGTACCCAAGTAAACGACTTTTATACAAAGTCTCCCTATGGTTACGTTATTATGAGAACAGCCACAAGAAATTAAAAATAAATACTCTCTCCTATCGAGTTCTCAAAGTTGACTGAAAGAATTCACTTTAAAGGACAAGTCCGCCTGTGTACATTTTTGTTATAACCTAATATCTATAAATGAATATACAAATAAATAAATAAAAATATGATAAATTTTTTGTAACCACCTAATTTCCATTTTATACATACATAATAATACGATAGATAATTCCTATGTACGCATTACATGAACAAGCGTAGTTTAACTTTGTTAAACTTTTTATTACAAAAGTTTGTCTGAGAAAACCGTTCGCGGTAGAAAAACTAAGAAGAGATACGTTGATGAACTTTTTTAATCAACTCAAAAGGAATATTAAAGAAAAGCATAATGTATGTATATAGGCGTATGTGGCTATAGTAGTTGTAGCTTGTTTGTAGCTGTTTATGGCATATTTTTTTTATACAACTTAGAATGGCAAACAAGCTGACGGCCCACCTGATGGAAAGTGGTAACCGTCGCCTACAGACATGAGCAGTAGCATGGACATAACAGAGTATACTGTTTCGCCCATGATACCCCCCATACGTTGCCATTCCTGAGGACTCAGGTGTTATTGCTCTGTACCTTGTAAATTCACGCCATGTCCCACCCTTTAAACCGAAACACAGCCATGCAAACACAACTGCTTCACGGTAGAAACACGAGGTACCCAAGCAATCGACTTTTGTACAAAGTCTCCCTCTGGTTTATATTGTTTATAATGATAAACAACATGCCATAACTTCGTAAATAAGCCATTAATTTCTTGTAAAAAGTAAAGGATAAAAATGGTTATTGTGGGTTATCACTAAAAGATAGACATATACCAAAACCTATGTTGGACCTCTGATTCCGTACCTATTCAGCCGCTTACATAGCTGTATTTCAGCAAAAGAGATGGAATATAACATTAAAAATATAAGATACGCAGCTTAACGTGTTATTGAATGCAAATGTGGCTTGAGGCCTGGGTGTCACCGTATATCCTGTGATGTCCACATACTGTTCATGTGTATAATCGATGAATTTCCATCAGATTAATGGCCATTCCTAATTGCAAACATTATTTATGTTTGTAGTAAAAAGAAATCTTAGTATAATATAAACGTAAAAGTTAGTTTTTGTTTGTTACCTAATAGTGCCTAAACGGCTTGATTTGGGGGGAAAGGGATTATTAGTAATGGGATCTAATCTCCCCGTTACTAGCATCCTATCAGGTCGACCTCCACGTTTCCCCTGGAAACTGTCGTGATTGATTCTAGTGAAATTCGTCACGATTAACTAACGTACCTGCTTTCATCGTCACCTATCATCTCTTACTGGTGCCTTGCCAGCGTATATCAAAAGAGCAAGAAGGGTTTTTTTTTATGGGTGAAAATGGTATGGTAACCCCGCCTGCGCTAACGGAATACGCTGGCGTAGCACCAGTGAAGGGTGATAGATGAGAATGAAAACAGGCCAATTAGCCCATCATGATGAATTCATCAGGAATTAACCATGATAGTTTCCAGGGAGAACCGCGAGGACGTTAACCTGGTTGGGTATATTTACTAGCAATAGGATTCTCAGTCTCCATTACTAACAATCCCTTTCCCCCCCGCGCAAGTGGGGTTACCATGTCAATATTATCCATTAAAAAAAATAGCTTAACTAATTACTATGAAATTTAGTAATATGTGATGGAGGCTATAGCCTAATTATTATCTTGGTAAATAATAAACATATCCCAGTCATGCCAAGAAAGTCGCGGGCAAAAGCAAGTAATATATAATATAATCAACATTTCATAATTCAAAAACTAAACTGCTGATTTTCACAAATAAAAGTACAAAGTATCCTGAATTCACCTGACAAATAACGCATAAAAAAAAATTAAAAAGAAGTTTTTGAATATGTATTTTTTTAAGTACAATTATGTAGGTATAATTTAGAATTCTATGATATTTAATTAATTATTTAAATAATAAGAGAACATTTCAATACACGAAAACAAACTGGGTACAAAACTTATAAACTATGCCTAACTGAGATTATGTTCCACAAAAAAAAAAACTTCAACTGTGGTAAAACCAGTTATTTTTATTTATAAACTAAATTACTGAACCGATTTTGATAAAATTTCTATGGGACCGATCTGTATGTCCTTTCAGATAAAAAAAAATCCAAATTGTATACAACCAGAGGGAGACTTTATACAAAAGTCGATTGCTTGGGTACCTCTGTCCCATTCGTGTTTCTACCGTGAAGCAATTGTCTTTGCATGGCTGTGTTTCGGTTTGAAGAATGGGATATGGCGTGAATTTAAAGAGTACAGAGGAATAACACCCGAGTTCTCAGGAGTGACAACGCATGGGGGGTATCATGGGCGAAACATTATACTCTGTTATGTCCATAGTACTGCTCATACTATAGGCGACGTTTACCACTTTCCATCAGGTGGGCCGTTAGCTTGTTTGCCATTCTAAATTGTATAAAAAAAAAAAGTTAAGTAACAAACTTTAAAAAAAAAATACAGCTAAATTCAGTACCTCCTTTTTTTAACTCTGTTGAAAATAAAACTGTAATGCCAGCAGTTCTGCCCTAAAATGAATCTATAAATAATGCCACATTTGAGTACGTTGAATAAAATATTAATTTATGCAACGCCACCGTCTGCATTCAAAGCAGAGTATCAAAGGAAACCATTAAGAAATTCCTACAACTGATAAATACAGAATGAATTGATCACGATCTAACGCCATATTTAAATTCTGTTTTAAAACAAAACTGAATTTCGTACCTACCTATTAATATTAAAATTATGAAAGAATACAGATTAATGATGTGTTGAGAAAGCAATCTATACATTTGTTAATATGGCAACTATGTTAGTCTATGTTTGATGTATATAGAGCGATACTCTCTGGTCTTGTCTAGTAAAAGGGAAAAGAAAAAAGTATGATGTCCTTAACATGTTTTTATATTTTTAAATATTAATAAAATGATAAATAAAAATAGTGAGTTTAACTATAAACATTCTACTAAATTCCTTCAAAATAATAAAATATTTAAATTTACTTTACACTTAAACAACTGAATGGATTTCAATAAAATTTTATACAGATAGGTTGTGTCCTAAAACATGGTACACATGATATAATTTTTCTATACCATGTAGGTGGCAAAAAACATTCAGTCTCATCTGATGGTAAACAGTCACTATAACCTATCTACTTTCACATGGGTAATACCGCAGGAAACAATTAATATGGTATAATTTAAAACTAAATTTATATAACTTCAAAGACTTTGATCTTAAATTCCAGCTGTGTTATCCCAGTATATAATGGGCCACCCATTCTATTCCTGGGTGTTATAGGAAAATTAATAGTCAAGGGATTCTCCAAAGCCTAACTGCAGTTGCCAATTCGCCTGCCAAGCATGGCAAGTACTGGCAAAACCCCCTTTATGGGGAGGCCTATGTTCACCAGCAGATAGTTGACAGCTGATATGGTGATCTTAAATTCAAATGATGGAACAGCTTTTACTTATTAAAAATAGGAACTTATTTTGTGAAACATTACTCGCTGATATTTTTAATCTAAGAATTTAAAATATATTATTCTTATGTATTCAAAATTCTTAAGCAAATAAGGATTGGTTGCCAAAGAATATAATTTCTCGAGACCTGATTGTATTGAGTTTACAAATTATTTATTAGGATTATTAATTTAAAGACAAATTGATAACACAAAATTTATTTATCAATCAAAGTTCCCCGTACTCTCTTTTCCATTTGCTGAGTTGGTGTTTCAGCTTGCCGTTTATTCATTCCTTTTCTCTCCAATTGTTTCTCAATAATCCGTGCGTTGTTTGCATAACTGTCAGCCACTTCTCTCGCCTCTATTTCATCTTCTTCCTCGTCTATTGTTGATACTGTTACAGAACTAAATTTACCCATATTCTTAGTGTGTTTCGTGACCATGATCTTCTTTGGCTGTGTCAGGGCCACTTGTTTATAAATATCCGTAACTCCACCCTCACCAGCTGACTGGACAAGAGCATCTCTCATAATGAACACTATATTATTGTCCTGAACATGTTTGTAGTACAGAGGTACAGCACATTTCTTGCATTTTAACCGATATTGCCGTTCAATACCATCTTCACGTTTCAAGTATATTGTTTCGTCAGGATCCGAGGTGATTTTGTGAGCGTGTTTCGATCCGTCGATAACTCTGGCTCCGTCAAGGGGTCTTAATGGTAGGCGATCGATGGTACAGTCCAATATGAGGGTCATCTGACCACATAAGCAGTAATAAATGTGCAGTGGTTTTGTCTCATTATATTCCTCTTGATCCTTCGTATCAGAACATACGATACTCCTTGAGACTACCTTGGGCATTTTGTATGTGTGTGTTTGTCACAATAAGTTGGAAGTATTACAAAATTAAAATATGTTCAATGGGCACCCTTTAACACTTGATACTATTTTGCACTTTATTTTATTTAAATGGCAAATTTATTCAATTGTGTTTTCCACACTTATTAAACAATATTTCCAAATATATAATTTCACTAAATAATAAACAGAACATTGAAAATATGACAGACGAAACAGAGTAATAATTATAATGACTTTTAAGACATAGATTAAAAATAGCACCAGCAGTAAAAGTGTTGGTTTTGTTCTTAATCTACGATAGTGAACAGGCCCACACTTTCAGACAGTCAATCATTAAGAATAAACAAGTACTATAAACATGAAGTAGTAATACAATTTCTTTGTAATTATAGAATATATAGACTGGCACTGCAAAAGCTAAAAACTTAATAAACATATGTTAGAGAGTTACACTAGTAAGACTTTCACCTACACAATGAAATCAATTATTAGCCGTTATTTCTTTAAACCTATCTTTGAAATTTAAATTTAATATCACGCTAAAATTTTTACAGTAAAGACCAATCTAAACTAGTTTTCAAATCGATTTTAGTCAAAATTATTACAAATTAAGTTTATAGTATTGCATAAGCAATAATTTCGAAATATTATTAATTCAATATAGGTTAAGAAGTAAAATTAAAGAAATGGTACCTTAAAATCGAGCTTATTATAAGTTGAAGCTAATTAGCTTAAACTTATAATTGGGCCGATTTTAAATTTAGCGAGATACAGGAAATAAAAGGATACATGTGTGTTGTAGCCCACTTTCTAATTGGCTACAGGAAATCTCGGAAAACTAGAAACTAAATGAATTGTGTCGGCTTTGAACGTTTTATTTTTCGTCTATGTATTGAAATAAATTTATTTTTTGGAGTTAGTAACATCTGCTGTCAACTTCACACCGCAGCGATTGTCTTTTATTACATAGATTTCTTGCACATGTTCATCGATTTCTGTGGAATTTAGGGAAAGTATAACGAAATCTTCAATAAAATGGGTGCTATAGCAAGCAGATATCGTGTCTCTAACACAGGGCTTACAAGCACTGATATACAAAACATAGAAAATGAGAACAAACGTGAAAATCCAGGGACATTGGATGAACTGCATAAAAAGACCAAAGGTAATATTTTAAAATTTATTCTTTGTATTATACACTGTTCTTTGTTAACGGTTATATAAAAGAAATCTTCTAATCGATAATTACTCGTAGTGTTCTTTTTATATATCCATACAAAAAGCGCCGACAAATAAACATTTACGATATACAAAAAGTTTGGTTAACTCGTGATGTAATATTTTAAAGTGACCTATAGATGTTTAGTTTACTGTATTAATGTTAATTAATATAAAAAAAAAGTAAAGTGATCTTCACTTTTATAGAAGTTTTTTTTTTATAATAAGTACTCTATACAACTCTGATCACATGTCTCCCAAGGTATCTATATTTGCTTAGTGATAAGCCCTACTCAACCTAAATTAATGTGCTCATTCCTGAATGTAGTTGTATAATAAATCCTTAGAAAAGGTCATAGGCTATCATTTATTAAGTGAAGAATGTCCCATAAATTTATATATTTTATTGATAATACTTATTATAATATACTATCTTTGTGACTATTTTTTTATGAACACAAAAGAACAAAGAACATGTACTATACTTATTTATTTAGCAATTTTTTTTTATGGAAATCCTTTATATTCTATTGGGTACATATTTTTCATCATAATATTTTTTATACAACTTAGAACAGCAAACAAACTAATGACCTACCTGATAAAAAGTTTAAACCATTGCCTATAGACATGAACAGAACACTATGGACATCATAATATACTGTAATGCCTGTGAAACCCTTCATGCATTACCATTCCCTTTATTAATATAATTCAAAATCACCAAATTTAGGATCAACATTAAAAAAAAAAATTTTTTTTTAATTTTTTTATTTAACTTTCCTTTTATCCTCATTCCTTTCTCAAAAATTAAAACCTACAAGGTTTTCGACTTTAAGGATGAATGTGTAAAAAAACAACATGACTTATAATCTTTATTCTACTAATAAAGTAACAATTTATCATATTTTGATTGATGTGTTGTTATTTAAAGTAATATAAATATGCTTTATTAAACCCATAAACCCAGATTTTTTTATGCAATTTAGAATGGCAAACAAGCTGATGACCCACCTGATGGAAAGTAGTAACCGTCGCATATAGACATGAGCAATACCATGGACATAACAGAGTATACTGTTATGCTTATGATACCCCTATGCCTTGCCATTCCTGAGGACTCAGATGTTATTCCTTTGTACCCTGTAAATTATTATTTAAATATTGCCAAAGTCAAGTTTATACGTGTCTATGTATGAACATAATTAAGATGATAGGATTTTATTTACTTTTGCTGTTGTTTCTCTCTAAAAAAATAATCTTATAATCACTAGGCCATTGGGTCAGGTGAAATCAAGTGTGAACTTATTCTGAAATATAAAAAAAAAACAAATCCAAATCATCGATTGCATGAATATGGTTACATACATTTAATGAAAATGTTTTTTTCAATCTACATTCTGCCATAACTAATATATACAATATAAAATTAATGTAAAATTGTCATAATAAAAATAATATCATATTCATAGAGACACTTTATAAACAATACTAAATGTCTATTTATAATAGTCAAATAAAAAAAACCTTTCCACTACTTAAATTACATCTACTTAATAAAATCCAGGTTTAAGGGTTTAATAAATTTATATTACATATTTATATTACTTTGAATAACAACACATCAGTGGAATAAAGATTTTACATCTTATTTTTTTACACACTCATCCTTAAAGTTGAAAACCTTGTAGGTTTTAATTTTTAGAAAGGTTTTTTTTTGATATACAACTTAGAATGGCAAACAAGCTGACGGCCCACCTGATTGAAAGTGGTAATCTTCGCCTATAGACATGAGTAGTACCATGCACATAACAAAGTATACTGTTTCGCCCATGATACCTCCCATGCGTTGCCATTCCTGAGGACTCAGGTGTTACTCCTCTGTACCTAGTAAATTCATGCCATATCCCGCCCTTCAAACCGAAACACAGCCATGCAAACACAACTGCTTCACGGTTGAAACACGAACGGGACAGAGGTACCCAAGCAATCGACTTTTGTACAAAGTCTCCCTCTGTGGATGTGAGCAGAACTTATAACTATGCATAAAAACATATTAGATGTTAGATGACATAATGGACCGTTTGTAAGCAGCCAGGCCTACCCCCCTCCCTCCTGGAAAATAGTCTTAAATATGCCAGTGCTGTTAGAATTCCCACACCACATAGAATGCAGAGTCTTATCTATAACATTTAATATTTCTACTGCATTCAAGCAAATAAAGTTATTCATTCAAAATAAAGTTATCATTCATTCATTCATTCAGAATGTTTTGTCACAGTCTTTGAATTCGAGATATTAACATAAATAAAAATTACAAAAGCATTGTATAGCTAAAATAAGTTTAATAAATTAACAATTTTTTTTATACGACTTAGAATGGCAAACAAGCTGACGGCCCACCTGATGGAAAGTGGTAACCGTCACCTATAGACATGAGTAGTACCACGGACATAACAGAGTATACTGTTTCGCCCATGATACCCCCAATGCGTTGCTATTCCTGAGGACTCAGGTGTTATTCCTCTGTACTCTGTAAATTCACTCCATATCACATCGTTACTAACTAACTACTACTAACATCTCGTTACTATATGCTGAAATTGTCTTCTTTTGCAGAGGTGATGCCAGTCAACTTTGAAGGCGGCAAACTAATGTTTAACAAGGGCATCTCCAATCATTTTCAGGTATTTAATGATTACTTAAAATCACTTTTATATATAAATAATAATTAGAACTTACTGATTGATGCATATAAAAATTGGCCTGTGTCCTCCACCCTGAATGCTTCATGTAATAATAATAAAAAACTTCATTGCGCACAATAGAGATGTATACAAGAAGTATTTATACAGAATGTGCAGCACACCTGCAATGCCGTAGGTGTTGTGGGTGACCATGGGCGGCGGTAGTCACTTACCATTAGGTGAGCCGCATGCTTGTTTGCCCCGTGTTGTAAAAAAAAAAAATATACAAAAGGCGGCCTTATCGTCAGAAGCAATCTCTTACAGACAACCTATGTATAATATATAATGTTATATGTTTGTTGGGTTGTTAAGGCATCAAAAGGGGATGAAAAGACTCTCTTAAACTTGTGTTATCTGTAAAGATTATTGTACCTTCAGCATTATATTATATATATAATTACTGATATATTTAAAATTTTCACACAATCTGTTAGGAAATATAAATTTATATTCTAATAAAATTGTATAAAGTTTATTTTTCATTACTGGTCCTTAGAAGGTGTGGCAATGAATAAATAATAAAAAATGAATAAATAATAAATAATGAAAAAATACCACTACATAAATGTACAATGCCGTGCCGGTGTAGAATAGGCCACCCCTTCCTTTCCCGTGGGTGTCGTAAGAGGTGACTAAGACAGGGCAAGGTACGGGCAACAGCGTCCATCTTAAAACATCTCTAAAAGTCTAACTGCGAATGCCAAGCATGGCAACTACTTGCAAAACTCCGCTTATGAGAAGGCTTATGTCCAGCAGTGGACAGTTAAAGGTTGAAATAATAAAAAATAAAATAAATACATCACATATATTAAATATATTTATGAATAGCACAGTACAAAAGTCGATTGCTTGGGTACCTCTGTCCTATTCGTGTTTCAACCGTGAAGCAGTTGTGTTTGCATGGCTGTTTCGGTTTGATGGGTGGGATATGGCGTGAATTTACTGGGTACAGAGGAATAATACCCGAGTCCTCAGGAATGGCAACGCATGGGGGGTATCATGGGCGAAATAGTATACTCTGTTATGTCCATGGTACTGCTCATGTCTATAGGCGACGGTTACCACTTTCCATCAGGTGGGCCGTCAGCTTGTTTGTCATTCTAAGTTGTATAAAAAAAAAAATAGCATAGTAAATTAATAATAATAAAATTATTTCAGATGTCCCACACACTGACAATGAGTTCTGCACAAAATGGCTACAAACTAGGAGCAACTTACATTGGTACTAAGCAGATATCACCAACAGAGGCGTTCCCCGTCGTACTGGGAGATGTGGACCCATCAGGGAATGTGAACTTCAATATTATACATCAGCTAACCCAAGAGATTAGAGTGAAAGGTGCTGCCCAGGTTGGTATTGGCATTAGGCTCGCCACTTGTACAAAGTTTTATTGTACAATAAAGAATAAATAAATATATATGTATATATGTATTGTGCAATTTGCTATTTAAATCATTAGCATTTTTCTAAGACAGTGTTCTATTTATTTATTTTTTCTTTATTGACCGCATTAAAAAAAAATGTGGTACAAAAGGTGGACTTAATACTGTATAGCATTCTCTCCCAGTCAACCTTTGGCAAAACAGAAATGTAATTATTTTCTACCAGTATAATTAAAGATTGCGTCCCACAAAAAAAAAAAACTGGCAAAAAAAAGCAGGCAGTTCTTAAGTTTATGCTTTTTTCTAAAATAGAAATTATAAGTTGTACAAGAGGATATAAGAAAATATTTTAAATTTAACATAAAATATAGTAAATTTAACACATTCTCCGCCAACAAGTTTATTTCATAAACATTTTTTGTTTTTAAGTTATATTTAATAAATTATGTAGAGATATAATTATTTAATTTACTTTGATGCATTTTTTGTGGGAAATTATGAGGATTTTTATGTGTCAGTCGCATGTGACTGACAAAGCGCCACCGAAAGAAAATTACGCGTCGCGTAGTCCCATTGGAGTATTCCAGTGTCAGACACCCGTGACTGACAAGGCGATCAATGTATTAACTTATCTTGATATTTTAAATACACAATCGGGACTTGACGCGATGAAAAAATTTTTGCATGTAAATAGTACCTACATACCTGCTTCTTTATTGCCGACGTTTTAAGTCCCAATAGTGTATTTAAAATAAGTGTAAACAACGCGAAAGTTTCAAAATAAACTTATCGTCACTTTAAAATACATTTCGAAGTCATTAAGACTGTCTTATTTAAGGTAAAGTTATATTTACAAAGTATGTCATTCATTTAATTCATAAGACCGTAGTCAATTTCGGACTCAATTTCGTGTTTTTGTTTATACCAAAATCGGACCAATAAATGGAGTTTAACATTGCGTTCGTCATACATCCTTACATAAAAGTCCAAAGGAACAATATTTTAACATTTTTAATATTTCCGAACGGCATGTATTATGTAATTTTAACATCAAATTTCTGTTTCGTTTGGCTCCGACATTTCGGAAAACATTTCATGGTAGGCCCTCAGGAATGACAAGGCAATGAAATGAAGGGTACCATAGTCAGTGCCGTTCATCTACAAGCAATGGTTACTACTTTCCAATAAGTGAATCGTCAGTTTATTATACTAGTGTAAAAAAAATTCCAGGTCCAGGAATGCAAATTGACGACGACCCAGGGTACAGTCGAGTACAAAGGCTCCGACTACACAGCGGCCCTCACGTTCGCGAAGCCCGACCTCAATGACAAGTCGGCTGTCATTGTTGGGCATTATCTACAGGTGAACTTGTCAGAGAAATTAATTTTTATCACGTATGTTTTAGGCATATTTTTCTTGCACACATGGTGATATGGCCCTTTTCGTACGCGTGGATCCCAAAATTGGAAAAACCAATGAATTAGATCGCTTCTAGATGGAGTCTAAAGATAAAACATATACCGGTTTTTAAGTTAGATCTTTAGGAACTATAAAATCCGAATTGATGGTTGCTCTATATAGGATTTTCAATTAATACAGTGTGATATTTAAATGTACAAACAACCAGATTGACTTACGTGTATTGTTAGTCGAGAAAACTCGACTAGTTTCGGGACCATCCGGGACCCTCGGTCATGAGCGCGAAGCTGACTGCGCGCCTCGACTCGCTGAGCGCGAATTATCAAGCAAGCGAATTAAACTAGACGAATTTACTCGACTAAAATATACGACTATTAAAATATAATGTATACGTAAGTTATTATATAGTTATTATATATATATATATAATGTATACTTACAAAACTATATTATATATATATATATATATATATATATATATATATATATATATATATATTACCAGAGGGAGACTTTGTACAAAAGTCGATTGCTTGGGTACCTCTGTCCCATTCTTGTTTCTACTGTGAATTTACAGAGTACAGAGGAATAACATCTGAGTCCTCAGGAATGGCAACGCATGGGGGGTATCATGGGCGAAACAGTATACTCTGTTATGTCCATGGTACTGCTCATGTCTATAGGCGACGGTTACCACTTTCCATCAGGTGGGCCATCAGTTTGTTTGCCATTCTAAGTTGTATAAAAAAATATGTGATATTTTAACTGCTAACCATAAGCCTCCCCCTTGGGGGGGTTTTGCAAGGAGAAGCTATTAATAAATTCATTAATTTTATAATGAAACTTTTTGAAAAAAGCAACAGCTGAATTACATGCCCTGTTTTTCTTGACTGAAATTGTATTCCAGATGGGTGGTCATAAAAAAAAATGTGACGATTCAAAAATGCTTAAATCTTAAGTTATTGAAAAAAAATTGAATAACTTAAATTGACTTTATAAGTAAATTTTATTTTTCACATATTTTATAAATTATAAATATTGGCATGCCTACATCGCTCAAGGCAAATTAAACAGATGTTAAACTTAATATTAAGTGGCCTTTGTTAATAATTTTAAATGTTTAATACAAATAAACTCATTTGATTTCAAAGAAATATACATAAATTTAAATCTTTACCAGAGGGAGATTGTACAAAAATCGTTTGCTTGGGCACCTGATCCATTCGTGTTGTTACCACGAAGCAGTTGTGTTTGCATGGCTGTGTTTCGGTTTGAAAGGTGGGATATGACAGTGAATTTACAGGGTACAGAGGAATAACACCTGAGTATTCGAGAATGGTAACGCTTGGAGGTATAATGGGCGAAACAGTATACTCTGTTATGGACATGGTACTGCTCATGTCTATAGGCGACGGTTACCACTTTCCATCAGGTGGGCCGTCAGCTCGTTTGCCATTTTAAGTTGTATAAAAAAGTCTTTCTTTTTCTAATATTAGTTTAGATAAATTATTGTTATTTTGGTTTTCAGTCGGTAACAAAGCGATTAGCTTTAGGCGCCGAACTGGTGTACCAATCAGGTATGAGGGTGATGGGTGGAGAGATCGCAATAGCTTCAGCAGCCGGTAGATACACTATGGACGGTGAGTAGTAAACAAAGCGAAAAAAACAAGCGTTTGGTAGTACTTCCGCTGGTGTTGTGGGTGATCATGGGCGGCGGTAGTCACTTACCATCAGGTGAGCCGCATGCTCGTTTGCTCTCTGTGTTGTAAAAAAAAATTTTGTACATTGTTCTAATTATTTAAATAACTGGTCAAGATTCTTATTAAATCCATGTCTTCATTATTCTATTAAATTCGTTTTTTTTTTACAATACAAGTGTCATTGTATTTATGTATATGTATATATTATTTATACTCTGTTACTAACTATATAGCTACTATAGTTTATTATTTATCGTATTATTTTTGCCCCATATATGTTATGCTTTATATAAAAAGCCTGTAGACACTTTCTCCTTTCGGATTCTCAAGGTTGACTGAAAGAAATCCCTTTAAAAGACAAGTCCGTCGTGTGTACATTTTTGTTATAACCCTAAAATCTATATTATAAGTGAATGTACAAAATATATATATATATAAAGTAATAAATTCATATATTCCTCAGATTCGGAGGTGTCGGCGACGGTGGGCGCGGCCGGCTTCCATTTATGTTACTTCAAACAAGCCAGTGAACAATTACAGGTGTGTTATTTTGAACAGTGTCACGGCAAGTGTTTAGTTGTTTAGTTTAGTTCTTTGAGAGGAACAGTAGAGTTTTTTTTTACATTCACACTATAAAACTACCAAAAAAGTCAGTTTTATGCTACCGTTTATTGTTATAGTATTAATATTCTATTGATTATCGCCATGTGGTCCCAGCATAGAATGGGTCAATTCCTTTCCCGTTGATAGAGGGATGGGCAGCAGCATCCCTAATCAATACATCACCAAAACCTAACTGTGATTGCCATCTTGCTTGCCGCTACTAGCAAACCCCTTTCCTTCTCATCGATCACCCTACACTGGTGCTCCGCCAGCGTATCCCGTTAGCGCAGGCGGGGTTGCCATACCATTTTCATCCATCAAAAAACTAGCAAACCCCTTTTTATGGGAGAGGCCTATGTTCAGCAGTGGACAGTTAATGACATATGATGATGCTGTTGACGTAAATTGTAAATAGATCAATTATTTAGCAGATTCTTTAACTAGTACATAAAAAAGGTTAATTCTAGTTGGAAAATATACTTGATTGATACTCAAAGTTGCACTCTGGCTCAGTGGTCAAACTAACTCTTTGAATTTGGTTTCAGTATCTTGATCAGCATCAGTGGAAAGAGATTACATACATACATACATATCTGTCACGCCTATCTCCCATTAGGGTAGGCAGAAACAATGGAACGCCAAATGCTACGATTCAAACAAACCTCTTTCGCTTCCTCCACAATCATCAATCTTTTCATACACGCTCGCCGGTTACGGGTACTTTTAATTTGGCCCTTCTTCAGCAAGAGATGGTTACCCCAAAATCTCTCCAATCCATGTCCATCATTCGTAAGGACCAATTTAAGAGACAGTAGATATTTGGGATGCTAATGACAGTGAAATTTAAGTGTGTGGAGATTTAACACCCTAGCCCTCAGAAATGGCAATACATGAGAGTTACCATGGATATATCACGGCATATTCTGTGGTCTCCATAGTTCTTTAATGTTATCCTTATAAGTCATCATTACCTTGGCTAATTCCGTTTATTTGAACTCAGAATGGCAAACAAGCTGACGGCCCACCTGATGGAAAGTGGTAACCGTCGCCTATAGACATGAGCAGTACCGTGGACATAACAGAGTATACTGTTACGCTCATGATACCCCCATGCGTTGCCATTCCTGAGGACTCAGGAATGGCAACGCAGGTGTGATTCCTCTGTACCCTGTAAATTCACTGCCATGTCCCACCCTTCTCCCTCTGGTAAAATATCGTTATAGCATAATAATTATGAATAATTTATTTCAGATTGTAGCAGAAATTGATACATCCTTCAGAGGGATGGAGTCTGTGGGCACAATCGGTTATCAAGTGAACATACCAAAGGCTGATCTCATGTTCAGAGGTACGCAGCAACTAATTTTTATAGCATCTAGCTGAAATATCTGGTATCAATAAACCAAACTTTACAATTAATGATAGAATAATAAAGACTCGAACGCTTTCAAGACTTTCTTAATTATTTTTTGAGTCAGCAAAACCAGTTCTAGTTACAGGTTGCTTAATAGTTACTATATATATATATATATATATATATATATATATATATATATATATATATATATATATATATATATATACTCTATGCCGGGACCACATGGTATAGAATTATACATATGAGATTGTTTCCAGGTATAGGACTGCCCATTGTTTTCTTAGGGTGATCTTTTGTTTATGATAACTTTACTAATTATTACCTTTCAGAGTGAACAATAAAGAGTTACTATCCATCTCTTTCTGTGCAGGCATGGTAGATTCCAATTGGAACATTGGCGCGGTCCTCGAGAAGAAACTCCAACCGCTGCCGTTCACGTTTGCTCTCTCCGGTATGGCGAACCAAGCGAAGCAGCAGTTTAAATTTGGCTGTGGACTGATCATATGCTAGTGTGTACTAATCGTGTCAGCGGTACCTTTCTGTGACCCGGGGATAAAGCACACCATACACGAATCATAAAAATAAATGGCATGCAATCTGGACCTCTAGCTAGGAACATGAGGAACCAGCCAATAAACATCTAGAGACATAACCCATAACACCAAGAAACGAGACAATTTTGAAAAGTTCCTAAACTGGCCCGACTGGAAATCGAACCCGGCATCTCATTACCTAATATGCTTACTGCTGCCCCATAATGGGATTCACTTTGCATAACTCGTCGAGTTTAATAGGCTACTTTCTCTGAAGGTGCAATGTTAACAGACTGGTATATTTACAATAGCGGTTTAATTTAACGGAAAATCTTATTATACAATATGATTCGTGTACAATGGACTTTTTAAATCCCATTGTGTTATCACTAAGGTCCAATGGTGTAGCAGAATAGCGAATCTAAAATAATTGGGTATGTTTAAGTTTGTATAAAACCTCATGCACATTGGTACTTTTTGTATATAACTAGGATGGAAGTGTTCTGTTAGTAATCTTGAAGTTTACCTGAAAAAAATCGAATGAATGAATATGGAATAACTTACCCCACATCGTGTTACTTTCATCCTATAAACACGGATTCTTTAATCCATTTAATCAATGCAGCCAACTGTTGAGAGTAGTATTCCCTTTTCGGTTGATTACATTCATGGACCAAACAATGTGTTCGTTCAAGACAGTGTGGTCACTTGTAAATTGATATTATAAAAAAAATAAAACAAATTTCGAGCCTTTCACACTAATACAGCATGTTAATTTGGTGTAGGCAACTTTATATGGTTTCTCATCTTTGAAGCTATGTTTCTTTTGGGAAAATGTTCAATTGTACTAACGGAATACTTCTTAAAAGGGAGTCGATTCTGAAGCGTTATTTTCCTTAAATTTTATTTTTGACATAATAGCAAAATCTTTATTGTAAAGATCAATATGAATTCATTTTCTAATAGTTTTTAACTCAAAATTATTATTTATATTAAGATTATATTATTAAGAGATAAGCTTAAAGAATAGCACTTCAGAATTGATTCTAGTGTGCCTTCAGGGACATACTGCAATCTACACACAATCCCATCGGAAATTGTTCTACATAGTGTAACTGTTATTTCTTTAATATTTTTCTGTATTTTAAATTCTTATAAATCTCGTAACACTGGTAACCTTTACTGGCAAATTGTTAATTTTAAACTCTCGCCTTACCACATATTTTAAATACACCATCGGGAATAAAATACGGTATAATATAAGTCATACACCATAAGACTGGCAATGTTAGTTCCCTATCAAAAAATTGGTAACCCCTATGTAATATTTCTACCACTTTGGGGAATAAAAGTTAATCCAAATATTACTCTTATTGTAAATTAGGTTAGAGTCAAATAAAACATATTGTTATCTTGAGGGGGACTTTGTACAAAAGTCGATTGCTTGGATACCTCTGTCCCATTCGTGTTTCAACCGTGAAGCAGTTGTGTTTGCATGGTTGTGTTTCGGTTTGAAGGGTGGGATATGGCGTGAACTTACTGGGTACAGAGGAATAACATCCGAGTCCTCAGGAATGGCAACGCATGGGGGGTGTCATGGGCGAAACAGTATACTCTGTTATGTCTACGGTACTGCTCATGTCTATAGGCGACGGTTACCACTTTCCATCAGGTGGGCCGTCAGCTTGTTTGCCATTCTGAGTTGTATAAAAAGAAAGGAATGCATGATATGTGCTATTTTAGCTAGCTTTATGTCTGGTATGGCCAACTAATCTCCTTGCCTTTAGATTATCCCTGTGATAGTCGTTTATGATACGTTTTTTTTTTTTTTCTTTAATGAAAAATAAGTCTCAAAGCACAAAAGTTGACCACTTTTGCAACCTAGCCAATATTATGAAATTGTAACAAAAACACCTCTGTACTTGGGCGATATTTGAGAAAAATTGAAACCCAATAGATGCTAAAACAATAATTTTTAGAAATTTCGTCTGTCAGTCTGTATGTTTGTTTTGGCATCATGCAAAAACTACTGTTCCAAACATAAAATGTGTTTTACCTCGATACGCCATTCTAGAAGTCGTCTATTACATTGTTTTTATTCTACTTCTGAAATTGACGTATTCGAAGTAACTGGCAATAAATTAGTACACAACAAATTTCAATACGAACATGCAAATAAACACAAAATGGTTGCAAATAACACGCCTGCAATGAATATAATAAATTAGACTACACTTTACAGATATCCTTAATTTGCAACTGGCCTATTTTAAATGTAATTATTGACTCTAACGCATAGACAACTAAATTGACTGTCAGAAGTGAGATGTGTTTTGGACACGAAATTTTAGAACTAATTGTAACAACGTATGTTTGTTTATATTTTTTTTTTCTGGGGGCTATAAATTGTGAAAATGGAATGCAGTATGTGTTCTAGTCAAATTGGAATATTTTATGTAAAATTTTTGGATCCAAACTTATTAACTATGGAGTAAGGATGCGTACATTAGGAACCTTAGTGATATCATCACATCAGCCTTTAACTGTCCACTGCTGAACATAAGCCTCCCCCTTGGGGGGTTTTGCCAGTAGTTGCCACACTTGGCAGGCGGATTGGCAACCGCAGTCAGGCTTTAGAGATGTTTTAAGAGAGACGCTGCTGCCCATCCCTAGCCCTCCCTTAGTCGGCTCTTAAGACACCCACGGGAAAGGACGGGGTGGCCTATTCTATGCCGGGACCACACGGCCTTAGTGATATAATCCTATTATTTTAAATGTAAAAGTTTGTAGTTATTTGTATGTTTGTTACTTCATAACGCTTAAACGACTGAATGGATTTGATTGAAATGTAGTAAATGGATAGATTATACATAGGATTCTTGACATACTCATGCACGCGGACAAAGCCACGGGAAGCAGTTAATTATAAGTAATAAATCGAAGTCGATTATAATTGATTAAAATACTATATGTATATTATAATTATTGATCTACAGAAATATGTTGAAATAATCGATTCTATTGTATATAGCGTCGATTATAATCGATTAAATTGTGTAAACATATCGATTGATTAATCGATATTTAGATTCTGAATTAATGACTATATGTAGTAAGATGCTTCATAGACAGTTATTTTTGACAATTACCAACCGATCGCGTAGTAATCGTTAATTTCAAATTTATAGGCAACTATCCTACAATACAGATCCTGAGACACAGTGTTGCCAAGTTACATTTCTACCAAATTACTTTTAGCTATTTGATGGGAGTTTGTGAGTGAAATGCTTATGTTTTTAGCAACTTCAAAAGTTGCTAAAATTGGTATAGAATATTGAGCGAATTGTGTAACTAAATTAATATTTAGTTATTCAATAATCCGAAACACATCTCACTTTAAAAATTGTGGGTATGTAATCGTTTAGTTGAATATTATCACAGAAGCCTGTGTGTATGTAGCTGATCTAAGCGCGGTGTATGTATGTATGTAAATGGTTACTCCAATAACATATTTTTATTCGTTTGTCACGATTATTGCTTCTCACCAGTGTAGCATTTATGCCATATGATATGACGTCACTCTAGGGCCCTCTATGATAAACTTTCATTCTACATTCTGTGTGTATTATATTATTGTGAATATGGTGGGGAGTAAATAAACATACAGATTCTCTGTCGAATAAATCCAAGGCTTTCAACGTTACCACTAATAATGTAACATTATATATGTAATAATTATAGTTTGTTACCAATATTTTGACGCATTTGAACGCTACTGTACAAATTTAGACATTGTTTTTTTTTTTATTTTATTATTTTTAATTTGTATTATCAAACTTCAAAAAAGGTGTATGCCAAAAAGCATTTTTAAAGTGCAATATGTAGTAGAAACATTCAGAGTTGAGGAAATTCGAAGAGGAAAGTAGTGTTTTATATTGATCAGTCTGTGAGATTCAGTCGATAGTGCCTATGATCTGACGGACTATATGCTGTATTTAAATAGGCACTACTGTTTTTTTTTTTTTTTTTTTTTTTATTCTTGCGCGGCACCTTTTATGTACTCCGTAGACGGTCAAGCAAACATGTATTATTGTGTAAAAAAGAAGCAACACCCTCCGTCTGTCCTGGAAACAATAATGGAAAAAGTATGTTTGATTCCAGCCTCTTGACCGTCCATGGAACTTATCAGTGTCACAGAAAAACATTCCTGGCAAAACTACCATTACTACCATCACCCCAGACACTGGACTTGACGTTGTCGTGCTATAATAGCCACAAGCACAATATGTCGTACTCTAGCTGTTATATCATTGGATATCATTTACAATATACATATAATTTATCTATATTACTTGTCAATACTTTGATAGCTATTTGTAGGTTAAAAATGTAGTGATTTGCCTCTAAATGAATGCGTGTCGAACGAGACAGAGTTGTTTGCTCAAAGGCTCTAGAGTGACTCGAGTCAGCGTTTTGGCGCGATTTTATAGCGTCACGGTACTGTGTACATAATGTATGGCGACTTGTACATAAAGCCTGTTGTTGATATGTTTATTTTTTAATAGAGTTATGTTAATAAATCATTGTGTAGTTTTATTTTATTGAAGTTTTTATTCATTATCATATCAAGCGTTAACTGTCCACTGCAGTATATAGGCTACCCCAAAAGGAAGGTTTTGCCAATAGTTGCCACGTTTGGCAGGCAGGTTGGCAAACGCAGTTAAATTTTGCTGATGTTTAAAAAGGGACGCTGCTGCTTATCTCTCGAAGATTAAGTCGCCTATTAATTCACCCACAGGGAATGACATTCTATGCCGGGACCACAAGGCAAACGTTTTTATTAATACACATTTCCCCAAAATAATTTTATACAAATCAATTGACGGTGGTAAGTTTGCTTTAATTCTGATTTGTTCGCTGAAATATGGGCATTTCGAGTATTACAAATTCAAATCATCTTTATTCCGAAAGACTTGTTTGTTTACAAGCACTTTAAAATCGTAATTTTTTTTTTACTCTCTATTAACATGTGCATTTATTTAAATGTACTATGTCTAAAATGTAATAGGTTTTGTTGAACAAATAAGGTAGATCATAAGATATCATTAGTTAATTGAGTACAATTGATGATTATTGTCGTCAAATTTATGTCATTAGCTAATTATTATTAGATAAGATAAAAAAATAAATACCACTGGCCGTGTTAAACAACATAAGCGATGTGTACGAAAGATACACTGATACATATATACACATTGTTTCAACCGTGAAGCAGTCAGTTTGCATGGCTGTGTTTCGGTTTAAAAGGTGGGATATGGCGTGAATTTACTGGGTACAGAGGAATAACACCTGAGTCCTCAGGAATGGCAACGCATGGGGGGTATCATGTGCGAAACAGTATACTCTGTTATGTCCATGGTACTGCTCATGTCTATAGGCGATTCAAAAATGCTTAATATTAAGTTTACTTGAATAAAAATTATTAATAACCCGTGGAACGATCGGCGGATCTAGGCTAGCTTGCTACACCCACTGCGTCAAAGATTTTTTTTTTATAACACAGGAGGCAAACGTACATGCGGCTCACCTGATGGTAAGTGACTACAGCCGCCCATCCTCACCTGCAACACCAGAGGCATTGCAGGTGTGCTGCCGGCGTTTTAAAAAGGAATATGCTATTTTTGAAGGTTACGTTGTCGTATCGGTTCGGAAATACTGCTGCTGGAAGTTGATTCCAAAGAATGGTTGTGCGTGGGAGAAAGTGCCTTGAAAAACGCACGGTGGAAGACCGCCATTCGTTCAGATAGTTGGGATGAAATTTTAGTTTATGGCGGGTTGTACGGTGGTGAAAATCAGCAACAGGTATCAATCCGAACAATTCCTCAGAACACTCCCCATGATAAATTCGGTAGAAGATGCACAGAGATGCAACATTTTTACTCAGTTTCAGATTTTTTGAAATTACCAAATTTCGATTAGAGGTTATGGATAAATGTGATTATTACCTACATAAATTTATTTTTGCTGTTGCATTAGCGCGCGGTATCACTTTTTTTATACCACTGAGCTGGCAAACAAGCATACGGCCCACCTGATGGTAAGCGGTTACCGTAGCCTATGACATTTTTGTTCGGTACAGCGTATGATGCATAAACGCTCGAGTGGTTAAAATACCCATATGTTAAAGGAGTTAAGGGGCCGCCTGAAAATCAGCGCTATATAATTACATCTCATTGTAGGTGTGCATATATCGTCATAGTCGTAGAATACTGACGGATCTTTATATGTAATATTTGTCAGATCCGTCAGTATTCTACGACTATGACGATATAGCAACAGTTGAGGCGATTCCTTTTACTAGCAAAATATACTGATTTTTCCTCTCTCTTTATTGTTGTTTATTTTAACAGTAATTATTATTTTTTGTTTGTTGTTTGTTGGAAATAAAAGATCTATCTATCTATCAGGTGGACCTCCACACAGTTCTCCCGGAAACCATAGTGGTTAACTATGGCTGACGAATGATGATGAAACCTCGTGACGAATTTGAAAATAATTCTTGTTGGATTTCATCACGATGAGGCAATTGATGTGCTTTCACCCTTACCTACCATACCTTACTGGTGCCTCGCCAGCATATACCGATAAGGAAGGCGAGGTTACCACTCCATTTTCACCCATCATAAAAAACTACTTCAATTGTCACAAAATCAATATTTTTTATTTAAGAACTAAACTACTTAACCTGTGTGTTAAAAATCTGTGAGTATATCCTTTCAGATAAAAAAAAGATTTTCCCAAATTGGTTTATAACTAACGGAGTTATGAGGTAACAAACAAACAAATATACAATCTCTAAGAATCTCTTTCTCATTGTAATCAGTTAAATAAAAAAATAATCTGTTCTTTCACAGATAATGTAATACTTATACTACAAGTACATGTCTATGAACAAAACATTGATCGTCTACTCGGACCTTAAATTAAGGCAAAAGAAACACAAGTATAGTTTAAAAATAACGCAAGTTTATTACATGTAATTAAATAAAAATAGAATCGGTAGATTTATTTTGTTACATGTATAACCGATGGGGACAACGATCCCCGACGTTCTGGTTAAGTAACCATTACATTCTCTATCTTGTAACGTTACAATCGTGACCTGACCGCATTTACGTCAATGAGTAAAACTTCAAAACCTTAAATCCATTAATGATTCTAAAAATCGAATATCCATCACGTCACGTCACCATTGTTTATGGGGTGAAGAATTTCAAATGCCAACATTCGATTATCATTAACCATAGCTTTTTCTGTAAGCCTATATAGAAGAAAAATTGTCAATTTATAACTGCCCTGCAAATTGGCACTAAAATCATAGACAAACGAGCCAATTTGGCCCAAACCTGTCAAGTTAAAGTTTGTAATAAACTCCCAAATGAATTTATATATTTTCAATATGATAAGATTAAACAGGAATTCCTGTTTGCACCCACAACTACGTTAGAATTATTCTTTATACACTCGGAGGTCATGCCCCTGAGCAAAACTATAGATAATAGATAAGATAACCTAAAAAATATAGTCACCGGGAATGTCGAGTGCGCCTACTGGAGAATTTACTGCTTTGATGTTATTGATACGTGGCTCTAGCACCGCTGAGGGTGTCCCAACCGCGCCCTGCCTCCCCTGAATGCGGCATACACTATATTTTGTGCCAAAGTACAATTCCTGTTTCCTTCAACAATTCTAACCTCGAATAGTACCGGTTTAATATTATGTGCGCAGTAGTTCATATTTTAACTTTTTTTAAAATTACCGACAATCGTAAACAGACGTACGTACAATCATCTGAATACTGTTTAATAATAATATAAACAAACATTGTGCATTTGATAACCTTCACTGATCCAATCAAGACGAAACTAACATCAATACCACAGAATTTAACTAATGATTGAATCAAACTTACACATGGGTGGACGTTATAGTAACCATAATTTTGACCAGTTTAAGCCAATGAAATATGATACAATGTTATTAGTATTGTTATTTACTGAACTATACCGTGCTGAACAATTTTATCGATTTAAAATTACGACCTGTGCCTGGCAGTGAGACACGACAGAAATTATTCTCCTCGAGTCCAATTCTAGTGTTCTATTTTTCAAATTGCATTCCTCTGGTTATAATCCAACTTGTTCAAATATCATTGAATTAATTCAAATAGTCACAATCTATCCAGTTGGATTATATGGAAGATCAAAATCCAAATAGAAATCCTATAAAAATATAGGAATCGATGATACTGTATCAATTTTTTTTTTATTCGATATGTATGTCATAAAGTCAACTATAATATTTGAACGGTAGGTACATTACAACATGATGAAATTTACCCTAAACTGGTCCAAACTCGTCGACCCATATTGAAAAATTAAAATTTTTAATCGTTAACTTCCTTATACCAAAATATATTATTATGGCGTAGATAAATGTCTATAATATTAATATAATTCTTCGTGTTATATCTATTTATATCTAGCTTAAAGTTAAAGAGACGATTGCAACACTTTTAGTTCGCAACGTGTCATTATCAGAGATCTGTGTTTGTTTTGTAATGCTCTTTTATAGACAGCTCGGTATTTCGCGGGACGCTCGATAACAATATTTCAAGCCAGTAACTGTTTACTAGTATTTTGAACTTTCAAAAAACTGAGCATTTCAACAAACACTAAAGTTACTGATGTTGATTTTTTTTTTAAAAAACTATTTATATTTACGTTGATCCGATATACAGTTTGAAATCAGCAACAAAATATCTGAGATGGCAACACTGCACTAACATACATAGATTCATATAACAAATACATAATTAAAGCTTGTTTACATAGTCTACAATCATATGAATAAAATCTCTAAAAGATATTACTCAAAAATGCAACAATCAAATTAAAAAAAAAAACCTGTAAATTTGAGCTTGATCGATCGATATAGTGTTGCCATTACTCAAAAAAAAGCATAGTCTCGACAACTCGTATCCGGTGTTGCCAGAAAGAACATTACAAAAGCGGCCAAGACAACAACATTGGCAGGGTCAGCATGAACATCAACGCTCGAAATTGCCAAGTTACATACAAACAAAATGCTAAATTATTTGGTGAGAGAACACTGCTTGTGGACTTCAACACCGCCTATATTTTTATAAGTCCAAAAATATATAAGTCCAAAATAAATTTTTGTTGTTTAGCTTACAAATCATATTTTATATCCCTAATATAAGTATAAAAAAATAAAACAATTATTTCTGTAAATTCTGGTAATGTAAGAAACAAATATTTGTTTTGTGATGATTAGTAAACGCTTATGATTATAATTCTAATGCGAAGACAAATGGCGGTGTTGAAGAAATGTAGAGCACGTTATAAGAATTTAAAATATCTAGAAGCAACAAACAAAGGCGCAATTATACTAAGTACAGTTTTACGATATCTCAACCTCTTTATCGACAAATTGACATTTTTTTTTTTCTCACGAACAAAGGAAGAAACTAATCACAGTTTGTGTATTCTTTAATTATAACATTAAAATGAACGTCTAATTTAGTGTCAACCCTGGCTTAAGTATAGACAATCTAAACTTACATAGTGTTGCCATTAAACAAAATATTGTTACAAATACAAGGATGTCACAGAGGGAGATGGACAATAACACAATAAAACATGACACATCATTGTTTAAAAATTAATTCTATCATAAAAAATAATTAAATAACTATGAGATATAAAGTGACTCTAGTCCCAGCGAACGGACTCAATTATCGATTTAAGTTGTTTTATTTATACTATGGGGGACAGATTAAAGTTATTTACAAAATGCTACCTCTCGCTCACTCACACGGCCGTTGCTGTCAGGTAATAAATTACAGATGATAAGACGGTGATATTTAGAACGTTTAATATGAGTATGTTAGCATACCATATACATAATTAAAATCTAAAGTTTAAATGTCCGTACGTTTATATTAAACATAGCCTACGTTAAATTCCAACCGTCGAAACCAAGCCATCTAACCAAACTATTAACTCCGGGAGACACGAATCGTGAACACGTTTTTACTATCATATTGCTGCTAATCTTAAGCGTAGTACACTATAATGATCAAAGACAAGCCGAACATACAATCCTAATAATTTTCCATAGACACTTTCCGTAACACACCAACGACTAAAAGTTTAAAAGACAAATTTTAAATTGGTTATTTATAACCGTTTCTTTTTCTCTTCCCATAGATTGTGGAACACACAACGAGTCATGTTCGCTGCCGGTTTGTGTTCTATTAAATTTTTACTCTGAGCATGCACATCTCCGACGCTAATTAAAAACTAATACTCTAAAATTGGCAATAGTGGTCCATAAAATATAATCTGTTGTTATTCAGATATTTTTTTTTTTAATGAGGCAGCAAACACGACATCTGTACTTTATTACAGATTAATATAAAGATATATCTTTTTTATTGGTCTGTATTGTCTATGAACGTTAAATAAGAAACAGTGAGGTGACAAGTATTATAAGCACAATACACACTTTTCGATAATACGATTAATATTAAAGCCATTTCCATTTTGAATGAGACAGCATTAAAATGCAAAATGGATAATTTTTGGAACACTAATACTAAGGCATTCACGAACAATCTATGAGGCTTTGCCTCGATTCTATAAACTGAATTATAAGACTGTTTCACAAACTGATATAATATCACCCACAAGATTAATACAAAAATATGTAAAAGATTTAATAAATATCTTATCTCGTTGAGACATTAAGCACATATTCACGCAGCTATAAACATTTTCAAAATCACTGATTACCGAGGCGCTTATAAACAAATGGAGTTTGCACTCGACTTTCAAAATTGATGTCAACAAATTTGACGTTGCAGGACTTCTTATTATCGCTGTGTGTAAGCGACATGGTGGACGCTTCATTTTTATTTAGTATTTTTTTTTTCTATCGGCTACACTACTACTCCGATAGGTGTAAGTGAGATGGAAAACACGCCAAATGTCAACTAATTAAATTTACATTAATAAAAAAATAATTTTATTTATTTATATCATTCAAATTAGTTCCAATTTTGTGTTCGCGGCGCAATTCCGTTTGATTGTAAGCCTCTCGTCGACACTCGACATAGACTAGACGATGCCATAGACAATACAGACCATAGACAAATTAAACAACGGCAGTGGCGAGTGAGCAAGCGCAAACCTCTATGTGGGGTAACTTACGTTATAACTCCATGTCTTGCGCTTCGTCATCGCTGAAATCGCTCATTGAGCTTTCTGTCTCGCTCGCATTGTTGTTCGCTGTCCCATTCGAGGTTTTGGTGCCCGAAGAGGCGGGCGTGGCGCTGGCCACGCCGGTGATCGCGTCTTTTTCTAACAGAGCCTCTTCGGTTGCGAATCTCCGGACGTAGTCTGTAATTTAAAAAAAAGCAAGTATTTTAACTAGCTAAATAAAGCGATTGTTAGTTTCAAAACGGATTGATAGTGAAAGGACAGCTTAAACAGTAAGATCAATCTTCTGTATGGTGTAGAAGGTACGAACTTGGCTCGAGTCAAAAATTTTTCTATATTTTTATACCACATATGTGGCATTTAACCCATGTTAATTACTGTAGTCTATGGACGTCTGTAACACCAGGGGAGTCATGTGCGCGTTGTCAGCCCTGAGGTAACATTAATACACCAGGGGGAAAGGAATTGTTAGTAATGGAGACTGAGAATCCCATTGCTAGCAATGTACCCAAACCAGGTCGACCTCCTCGCAATTCTCCCTGGAAACTATCATGGTTAATTCCTGATGAATTCATCATGATGGGCTAACTGGCCTGTTTTCATTCTCATCTATCACCGTTCACTGGTGCTACGCCGGCGTATCCAGTTAGTGCAGACGGGGTTACTATATTATTTTCACCTATTAAAAAAAAACGATAATACACCATTTTTGTCGTCGACCTGGTTGGGTATATTGCTAGCAATGGGATTCTCAGTCTCCATTACTAACAATCCCTTTCCTCCCCATTAAGTAGGTACTGAGAGCATGCATTTAAGATAACCTTTCTGATGCGGATTGATGGGCGGTGAGTTATCATTGTGGATTTCACGATTTACAGGTTATAAGCAGTTGATGGAGTCAATAGAAAATTTTGGAGAAGGTTTGAGACCTTATGAAGAGGGTGAGTATTGTATATATAATTATTTCTATAGTTTTATATGCACATATATTTATTTATTTGCATATACGTAAATATGTATTTATATATATTTATTCAGTACTTTAACCTTGCCCAACACAGTTGTGTTAGGTTCGGTTAAAAGACTTGGCGTTGTTGATAATGCATCTGATGTGTGTTTTGAAGCTATGCACAGTGGATTAGTCTGGTGGAGTCGAACCTTGGGCAAGCCCGGATAAGGTGATCCATGGTTTGCTGGTGGTCGGCGTTGCATGGACATTTGTCGTCACTATTTTATTATTAGTAGAAGTTCTACGTGTTGTAAAAACTCTATAGTCGTTTTTATTAATGTTCTATAATCAAAATATTAAATACAAAAATATAACAATATAATAATTTATGACAGTTCGCTATTCTCTTCTAAACTTCACATAATACATACATTTTTATTATTCATCCAACTGAGCTTATTATTTTCAACACTACGACCTTCCATATTAATCATCAGTCTTATAGCACTGAGATAGCAAACAAGCATACGGCCCACCTGATAATAAGCGGTTACCGTAAGCTATGAACGCCTGCAACAATAGGGACATTACGAGCACGTTGCCAACCCTGAAGAAACCTCTTTAGCCCTTTTTTTGAAGAACCCCATGCTGTAATCTCTTCGAAAACACCTTGACATAATCATCGATCTCCAACCGTTATTCAGTCTACGCACATGTTACGACACGGGCATCTTTAGGCAAATTAATAGATTGCTGTTGGGAACTTAGTGTTGACCGTACAGAGCCCAGGCTGTGAAAAGTTAAACAGTTAATCATATAAAAGCTATCGCTGGTGTACGCACCTGAGACCTTCTTCTTGTACTCCTCAGGCTTGTGCAGGTACATGGCGGCCGCGTCGCCGTTCAGCGGGTCGATCGGGTTGGGATACGTGAGCAGCTGCGGCAGGAACGACTCGAATATATTCGACAAGTCTGCAAACACAAACAGAATACGGTTCGAATAGAGTTTTAATAGAGAAGCAGGGCTGGGCTTAGCCAACTTGTTAAAAACCAAGTCTCGAAAACTCGGCCAAGGTGGCGCCCTTGGCCAAGAGCGTCTCCATATGCTCAAAAGACATCACCGTACTGTTTTATGAATGCAAAATGCCTGCGCATAGTAACGGGAACATTAATCCCTATTGGCTAGGAATATACCTTCTCTATATTTTAGGCGATATCGATCGATACCAGAGGGAGACTTTGTACAAAAGTCGGTTGCTTGGGTACCTCTGTCCGATTCGTGTTTCAACCGTGAAACAGTTGTGTTTGCATGGCTGTGTTTCGGTTTGAAGGGTGGGGTATGGCGTGAATTTACAGGGTACAGTGGAATAACACCTGAGTCCTCAGGAATGGCAACGTATGGGGGGGTATCGTGGGCGAAACAGTATACTCTGTTATGTCCATGGTACTGCTCATATCTATAGGCGACGGTTACCACTTTCCATCAGGTGGGCCGTCAGCTTGTTTGCCATTCTTAGTCGTATAAAAAATTTGTGTTTACCCTTTTTCCACCAACAATATCCAGTGAAACCCAATATATAGATATCAGATCGGTATCCATATAACCCATGCCTAATACATAGAATACACCATTGTTAAATGCATCATATGTTTAGCAGTTTAACTATAGCATTATGGCCAATGCTAAACGAAATATAAAACTCAGTTGTGTTAGATGCGACCTTCCACTAGTAAGGTCAAACTGTAACAGCTTTGTATTTATGTAGGCTCTTACAGTTTCCTAGTATTTTAGTTAAATAGTATTACTGTTTACTTACAAGCTTAGATTATATACATAAAGGCATCGAGCCAATGAAACGGGTCAACTCTTTGTCAGCTAATTAACTAACTCTTTTTTTTTTTATCAGTGTTCTATATGCTTATGCACACAATATACCTTGACGTATGTATATTTATTATTTAATAAATTAATTAAGTTTTTGTGCATTAAAATGGTGTAAAATTTATTAGCCAAAATAAATATAGAAGTTATAAAGGAATCACTCATAACTATTTATTACACTAAATTATATTAAAGTTGACCAGCTTTTTTAGAAGCACTTATATGGAGACACTCCATTTATATAATCTAAGCTAAGAATTATCTAATTAAATGTAAGTAAACGAAGTAATTAACTATAGTACATTACTGCAGCGGCCAGCAACTGAGGCATTGATGGACGAACGTGCAAATGTGGGCCGAGGCGTAGCCGAGGCACACATACGTGAGTCCATCAATGCCTAGTTGTGGCCAAGGCTTATATAGGACTTTTCTCAAACAATGCGCGGAAACCAAAAACACAATTTTACTTTTTAAGTTCAATGACGAATAACGAACAATAATAATTTTTCACGCGCCATAATGTTCCTTTGTTTTTTTTCTTCAATAAACAGCTTTCTATTTGCCAGTTCGAAATTTAAATAAAACCTTTTAATAGTTACCTCCTCGGTAGCCATATTTCGAAGTAAAAGGTCATTCCATTTTTAAATTACAGGACAGATATGAGTTTACATAGTAATTTATCTGGCCGCAAAACACGACAGATATGGATTTTCATACAACTTTTGCCGGCCGCTGCCTGCATGTATCTGGACAGTACGGCAATTTTGATTTATCTCGAAGAAGATTGTCAAAATAATGCTCACATTTCCAAGTATGTTTGAGAAAATGTAGTTTGCAATTGGGGAAGATACGACGATCCTAAGACATAAGATAAAACAAGTAAACCTTTCACACAAAAAAGAATCACCTTGATCGTGAAAAAAAAAACTGTTTTTTGATTTACAAATAAAACTGCTGAACCTATTTTGACGAAATTTTTATGTGATCAATCTGAAAGTATATCCTTTGAAATAAAAAAAAAAAAAACAATTTTTACGGGCTAAAAATCTTTAATAATTTTTATTCAACAAAAAAAAATTGATTTAAATTATACCAATCGACTTCAATCAGTTATTTTGATCCAAAAACAAAACTACAGAAACCGATTTTGATAAAATTTCTATTGCACCCATCTAAGTATATCCTTTCAGAGAAAAAAAATAATTTTCCAAATCGGTTTAGAACTGACAGAGTTATGAGGTTACAAATATAAAAAAAAAATCTAGCTGTAAATCTCGCTCTTCGTTGTCGGTTGAAAATACAATATTAACAAATGGATAACTTTCAATCAATCAAGGGCTTCTCTTTGCCCGCCAGATGATGTGTGGGCGGGCGAGGTAGGGCCCTCGGGGCGTACCCCATTACCCCGGCTTCAACTCCGGAGGCAACAACCTCCGGCATACAGTGTTTGTCTGTGTATGCCGGCGTGGTGTCTTCTTTCTTCTTGGCTTCAATTCTTCACTCTTGAATTGTAATATATATATATATCTTCTCTTTTTTTAATAATATATAATGTTTCTCGGATAAGTTTATAAAATCGTTCAAAACCTCACCATAGAGGGCAGTCCAAGCTTGGTTGATGACGTCGAGACATACGGTGCCGGAGACCTCGTCAATATTCGGATGGTAGACCTTGTTCATGAAGCCGATTGAGGGGGACTTGAAGGGGTAGTGATCGGGCAGGTGGACCCGTACACGCCACACGCCGCCTTCGTAAGGAGCTGGGGATGAAGTAAAACTTTTTCTAAAAACACTGGTCACACAACGCCATCTAGTGAGCTAAATTGGAATGTTTAAAAATTATGAATTCACTCTTGCGCCACCTACCCACTTCTACATGTTCGAATGTATGAACAAAGTTGAAGTAAAATGAAAATGAAAAAAAGTTAAGGAGCTAAAAATTGCATATCGCTAAAACTAAATAAAAACAAATCAAAGAAGTTTGTCTGTAAGAGATTGCCGTAGCGATAAGACCGCGTTTTGTATCTTTATATGTATATTTTAATCTGTACTCCATGCTACTGTATTTCAGTTTAATTGTTATGTCATATGTCATAATATGCCATTGTTTATTTTTATGTTTTTGGTGCAATAAACAGTTAAATAAATAAATAAATAAAATCTATTTGAAGAAATATGCAGTCGTATAACGTGCAGTCTTAGTCATTCGTGTCCAGGATTAAAATAAAAAAAGGTTTTTTTTTTATGTAAAAATAAATGTGTTTATATCTGATAGTTTTGTTATGTTTCTAACCGGTTAACAGCCCTTATAATATTAACCCTTAGACTAGATATTCTGAACCATAGTGGCGAGATCGGGAGCGAACGATGACCCACACGTCGCGTCTCGTCTCGTTTCGTTCACATTCAGTCGATGGTCCATGACCCGTCCGTGTAAACGCGCCCTTATCTTACTAATAAATTGTTTTATTGTGCACTTTTTAGACCAAATATATTGTATTTTGTTCAACAATTAGAATTATTTATTTATTTATATTTTTGCATATACTAAAATATGTCTACAGAGCGGACTTAATGCCTGATGGCATTCTCTACCAGTCAACCGTTACGCTAAACAGAGAGAGTAAATATCGGTGCATTGATTTAAAATAAAAGTAAATTAAATAAATATATTGCAAGATAACAACAATTTATATAACAATAAATTATAAAAAAAATCAAAGAACAGACAACCTTCTTTGTTTTTTTTTTATATATATATTTTGTTTTTGCAACATGCAATTTTTTGCTCTACAAAGGAAAACGGCAAATTTAATCGTCACAAAATTAATACGGGATCAACAAGAGACTAAACCCTGTACATTGTGAATGGAATTGTGAAAATCAATTGTGAAATTGGCGACACGTACATTTAGCATGGTCACAAAAAATTCGACAAATCTGAACCTCGTCGAATGTTTCTAGTTCTGAAAACCTCTTGCTGAAGCAAATACAATTGCACTCAAAGTTTAAATAAATAAAACACTAACAACCCGCCCCGGCTTCGCACGGGCGTAATATCGTAGGAAGCATTTATAGTTAATTATTTAGAGCTTCTCTGTAAACGACATTTGATATTCTATTATAATGCGGTAGTAAAATGTATTGTTTTTCGGTAGCTCCAAATCGCAATAGGGCATATAATTGGCCATGAATAAACATATATCTTTTACTATAATTTTATATATATACCAGAGGGAGACTTTGTACAAAAATCGTTGCTTGGGTACCTGTCCCATTTGTGTTTCAACCGTGAATCAGTTGTGTTTGCATGGCTGTGTTTCGGTTTGAAGGGTGGGATATGGTGTGAATTTACAGGGTACAGAGGAATAACACCTGAGTCCTCAGGAATGGCAACGCATGGGGGTATCGTGGGCGAAACAGTATACTCTGTTATGTCCATGGTACTGCTCATGTCTATAGGCGACGGTTACCACTTTACATCAGGTGGGCCGTCAGCTTGTTTGCCATTCTAAGTTGTATAAAATAATAATAATTTGGAGCAATCAAAGCCCATAACCTAAGTACAACAAGCCTTATCACTAAAAGCAATCTATTTATGGCGACCTTTGGGCAAAGGAAATGATAATGGTAACAGATGTAAAGCCATAGATATGATCGCGTACATTAGATAGTGTAAAAAGGCCCTTCAGTACAAAAACCGAATAGGCATTAGTAATACCCGTATCAGTATCGATTTAATATCTATATATTAGTTTCTTTTGAACATTGAGGGCGAAAATCAGTCATCACTCAATTCGATGTCGGCCGTACCAGTCCAACATTTATATTAATTTTTATTACATTATTATATATTACAGAAACAATAATAGATAAATAGATAGACTGAGGGAGACTTTGTACAAAAGTCGATTGCTTGGGTACCTCTGTCCCATTCGTGTTTCAACCGTGAAGCAGTTGTGTTTGCATGGCTGTGTTACGGTTTGAAGGGCAGTGAATTTACAGGGTACAGAGGAATAACACCTGAGTCCTCAGGAATGGCAACGCATGGGGGGTATCAAAGACGAAACAGTATATTCTGTTATGTGCATGGTACTGCCCATGTCTATAGGCGACTGTTACCGCTTTCCATCAGGTGGGCCGTCAGCTTGTTTGCCATTCTAAGTTGTATAAAAAAAAAGTATATTTGTTATTTATATATATTTATTCGTTTATATATGTAATTTTAGTATGTATGTATATCAATAATTAGTAATACCGCATTCGAGTATTCTAACACTTCCCTATGGTTGACTGGGAGAAAATGCTCTTAGCATTAAGTCCGCCATGTACACATATTTGTACTAATAAATAAATAAATAACACAGACACAGACATATATAAAAAGCGAGATAAGAGTAATGCATATAAAAAAAAAACATTTAATACATCCTTTATTTGACCAATATATAGGTATTGTAACAAAAATATATAGATATTGGTATATATTATCCGTCCCTAAAACCGAGACGGCCTTAGGGCATGTACACACAGCCGGGTCGTTGTACACGACGGGGTACGAACGCGACGCGACATTTCGATCGCTGTGTGGCTCGTTCCCTTTCAGTGTGCATGGACACAAGTGAGTCCGTATTCCATGGCAACCAATTGGTTGGCATGTTGAATGCATGAGAACCAGGATATCAATTCGAGACTGGACAGTCGTTACTTTGAATCATTATAGTGCTTATCATTGTTATAAGAAACGGTCCTAGGCCATCTACTTCCACTGGCTCCCTGCAATGCATTTGAGGTCGTCACTCCATCTAAAGGGGAGAGGTCGTCCTAAACTACGTTTAGCCTTACGGGGTCGCCACTCATGAACCTTTCTTCCCCATCGGTCGTTGGTCCTTCGAGCTATGTGACCAGCCAAATGCCACTACAGCTTGCTTATTCTTTAAAAATTTATCCTTATAAAGAGTTTACAATACAATAATTGCTTTGGTATAATAAATATATAAACATAAACCCTCTTAGGACTATCTCTATCAGTCAAAATTATTTTCAAACCACACGGGGGGAACCAGACAGGGGGAAAGGGATTGTTAGCAATGGAGTTTGACAGCCCCACTGCTAGCAATATGCCCTATTAGGTCGACCTCCCCGTGGTCCCCTCTGGAAACCATCGCGAACAATTCTTGTTGAATTCATCACGATGGGTTAACTGACCTGCTTCATCCTCACCTATCATCCTTTACTGGTGCCCCGCCGGTGTATGCCGATAGCGCGGGTGGGGTTACCATTCTATTATTACACATTAAAAAAAAAAACCACACGTGACATATAAATAAAAACAAAATATACTCACTGCCTGGTGGACCGAAGAATTTGACACAGAACTCGTTCAATCCCCCCAATATTGTCACCTCATGTTTACTTTCAATACTGAAATAGATTGTTGTTAAGGAAAATGTTATGGTGTTATTTACATATTGACCTCAAACCTTGTATTGGGATGGGAATTGAATCCCATTATAGACGTAGCTCAATAACAGCTAATATCATATACTTTCTCTCTATAAATGCTTCAAAAACAGTAGCCTCGTAAAGCAGTTGTGTTTGCATGGCTGTGTTTCGGTTTGAAGGGTGGGATATGGTGTGAATTTACAGGGTACAGAGGAATAACACTTAAGCCTCAGGAATGACAACGCATGGGGGGTATCATGGGCGTAACAGTATACTCTGTTATGTCCGTGGTACTGCTCATGTCTATAGGCGACGGTTACCACTTTACATCAAGTGGGTCACCAGCTTGTTTGCCATTCTAAGTTGTATAAAAAAAATCATTTTTTTTTTCAACCATTCAATTATCACTGGTCGTACATACAAATGTTATTAAATACATGTATTAATTATTTATTAATTTAAATTTATAATTGTATTAATTTATGTTATATTAATTAATATTCTACCGCATGTACAATGGATCGTGCTCAGAGGAATTGTTCAATATGATGCCCAAGGCCGCTTTCTACCATCGTACGGCTCGCCATCGACAGGGAGTTCACTCCCATACCTCAGAGCCTAGATGGTCGCGTACAGCGCGGTTTTAGAGATGATACCTTCCACGAACACTCAAGTTACGGAATGAGCTCCCTGACGAAATTTTTCCAAGAGACTACAGCATGGGATTTTTAAAAAACGAGAGGTTCGTAGGCTACGGTAACCGGTTACCATCAGATATGCTTATTTGTCACCTCAATGGTATAAAAAAAAAATATGACTTTGGTCATTTTATTTATTTATATTTACTACCAGCTTTTGCCCGCGACTTTGTACATGTGAAATACGTAAATAAGAATACTAATTAAATAACGACTTCTGGATGGTGTATCATGATAAAACATAAGCCAGATTTTAAGTTCGATCTTCGGAAACACAACTATGAAAACTGCATCCAATTTAGTGCAGTATTTTTGCGTGATACCTAAACAAAGTATACAGATGAACAGAAAAAAATAATCTAAAGAATATATATATATATAATAAAATAATCTAAAAAATATATATATATATATATATATATATATAATTGTCTTACTTTTACTTAAGCTTTTAAATTGCTTAAAAATGGAATATTCTTATAAAATAATTGAATTAGGCCAATATTTCACTAAAAAATGCTATATATATATATATATATATTAAATCTACCGATTACATATATGCAGCTAACTGCAACTACCAAGAGCGACAACACTTGCACCAGACAGTCAGACATATTGATTTTTCCGTCTGCATTGTACTTTAATAATTAATGAGATCGCACTGTCCTTGCAAGTCATTCGATGTCTCTTCAATATAAATATCATTGTCTCTCTACCGACTACCATTTACGGGAACTTGTTATGGGGTTCCACAATTAAAAATCCCCTGGAAACCATCGTGATTAATTCTTTATGTACATATCACGACGGGGCAATTGACCTGGTTTCATCCTCACCTAAATATTCACCAGAGTATCCAGTTATCGCAGTTGAGGTTACCATTCCTTTATCACCCGTTAAAAATCCCCCTAATGGGGACGGTGGGGGGTGAGAGAGGTATTGTTAGTAATGGTGTCTGAAAGTCCCACTGTTAGCTATACACCCTATCAGGTCCTCCTCCTGGAAACCATTGTGGTTCTATCTCGGACCACCTACGAGGTAGTCCGAGACTTGTTTTGGGGTTCCGCAATAGAAAAGGCGAGATATATGTATATTTCCTCGCAATAAAAGCTTACTTATACTTCAACCGTGGGTGCACAGTCGATAAACGACGAGATGTTTTGTAGACACTTTAGATCGGTGATGGTGGTGGTCTTACGTGGGACCAACGTCCCACAGGAGGGCAATTTGATAGTTAAGGAGGGGAGGGGGCAATTAAAAAATTGACTCTAAGCGATTTAACCCTTTTACTCCGTGCTATTTAAAATGCAATGCTACGAGTAGATATCGTTGCCAAATTTAACAAAAAAAAAAAAAAAAGTAAATAAAAAAAAATGCTGTAAATATTACTAGGTATAATTTCGTTTGACGTTACCAAAATATCAACTGGGCGATTAGAGTCGTCAAGTAAACTTAGTCGGGAAAAATTATGTATGAAAAATTATACATAAAAATTTTAAAAATGTTCAAGTGGGACATGACACAAAAAAAGGTTGGCAAACACTGCTTTAGATTGAAAATATTTGAATTTATTTTATTTATCCACTTTACCCGCAACTTCGTCCACGTGACCGGGGCATGTTTATTGACCTGGGTAAAAAGTCTATCTATATCCTTGCCCATCCTATATAGTACGTGTACACCAAATTTTATAATAATTGATTAAGCCATTAAGGCGTTATAAGGCAACAAACAAACAGTCATTTTCACTTAATATAAATGATATTATAAATTGTATGGGGACCATTTCAGCTGCTACTACGGAATTATTATTTTAATGTATTAACGTTTATATGTTATGTAATTATTTTTTTTTTTTAAATTAGAAAATTCACATTTCCCCTCTTAAGGAGGGGAGATGGCAAACTAACTCCCGGCAGAAGCACAGTCGGCCGGGGTTCAGGGCCCCAGGGAGGGAAACCGGCGTACAATGCGGGCATAATCTAAGTGCACCGCTTTCTGCATCTTTCGCGGGAGTGAGTCGCCTCGGAATCCCAACCCTCTGAGATGTTGTTCCAGACTGGTTGGGATAAGACCGTTTATTGACAATTATTATTATTATATTAATAAGGATTTATTTGAATAAATATTTGTTTAATTTAAATTTAAATAATTTAGAACTCTGAATTACGTTCATTAGTAAATTGTACTTCCCAAAAAAAAAAAAAATACATTTTTCTGTATATATATAAAAAAAAAAATGTAAGATCATCGACTTTAGCATCTCTGAAGATTGAATTGTTAACAAGCTCCAATGACTCGTCATTTTTTTACGATTCTACTGCTCGATTCGGTATTTTGTTATAATCTGAGAAGAACCCGCAATAAACTCAACTGTTACTCTTTACAATTTATACACTAGATAATTTTAAATTCATATACATACTGTGAATATAATATAAAGTTAAATATACAGATGGATGGACAGTAAAGTTTTTTTTAATGCATAATAATGGAATAGTGACCTCGCCTGCACTATCGGCATACGCTGGAAGGGACACCAGTGAGAGATGATAGGTGAGGATGAAGCAGGTCAGTTAGCCCACCGTGATGAATTCATCAACTGTTGAAATATTTTGATATATAACTGTTGATAAATATTTTGTTCTTTTGTCTTGTTCTTTATCGTTCTAATAAAAGTAAAGTATATATATATATATATATATATATATATATATATATATATATATATATATATATATATATATATCCACTTATTTATAACAACATAGATTTCTATGTATTATTATTATAAATTATTAGTATTATACATGTGTGTGTTTGTTTGTTACCTATTAATGCCTTAACGAATTGTGCCTAATCGAAATCACGAAACGAACAAATTTGTAAGATATGCAGAAGCACATAAGCTACTTTTTATTCCGGTCACGCGGACAAAGTCGCGGGTAAAAGCTAGTAACATATAATACACCTAGACAAATACAAACAGACATACTCGTGAATACAAATATTTGTATTACGCGGAAATCGAACACGCGACCATCCGAAGGTGAGACGCGTAGTACAAACCGTTACGCCACCAAGGTCGTCAAACAAACAGCGATTTCGTGACAAAAAAAAATATAGGACCAACGCGGAAGTTCACCTTACTGATTGCGAAAACAAAAAAAAATATATATAAAAACAAGCAAATATAGTGTAAATTATATATACATAAGTACATTTTATTTCACAAATAATTAAAAAAAAACTTAAAGTAAGTCGTAACTAGTTATATTCATTTAACCTTAAACTACTGTACCCATTTTGATAAAATTTCTATAGGACCAATCTGAAAGTATTATGTTTGAGATATAAAAAAAAAATTCAAATCGGTTTTTAACTGACAGAGTTATATATAGATAACAAATACAAAAAATGTATGTAGAACCTCCTACCTTTTTTAAATTGGTTGAAAAAAAAAAATAGCTTTTACCCGCGACTTCGCCCGCGTGGCCGGGATAAAAAGTAGCCTATGTGCTTCTGCATATCTTATAATAATAATAATATTTTATTACAGATAACTACGATCCATTTAAACCAGTTAAAAAGCAAACTAATGAGTTGATTTTGATGACATTTCTAATGGGATCAATCTGAAAGTATATCCTTTCGCATTCAATCAATCAAAAATCAATTTATAAATGACGGAATTCTGATTGTTACAATCATAAAAAAAAATATAATCGAATTAGGAACCTCATTCTTTTTTTAAAATACCAAATACAGGCAACTGAATTAAAACGTTCTTTTTTTAAAGTCACTTAAAAATAAAGTATAATTAAAAAAAAAATAATTACAAGATTACGTAATACAATATTTAGTATTTATATTTTTAAAGTTTCACAAACGTATGTGATATATAATGTACATTGCAGAATAATGATAAGACGTGATAAGATAAAACATGTCGGTAACTAAAGAGCGAGGTTTCACCAAACGATTTCCTAACATGAGGTGGAATATTAAAAAGTTCCATAATCAAATACAGATAGAAAGGCACTTTTAAAGCCCGTTTCCCTCGATATAATATAATAGACTACTTTGCATGACCCTCTGAATTAAATATACTATTTAATATTACGCCAGAAATGCATCAGGCAGAGGGAAAGGGATTATTAGTAATAAGATTTAACAGCCCCGTTGCTAGCAATACACCCTATCAGGTTGACCTCCTCGCTGTTCCCCCTGGAAACTATCGTGTTCTATTCTAAGTGAAATTCATCACGATAGGCTAACTGACCTGCCTTTTCATTGTCACCTATCACCCCTCATTGATGCCCCGCCAGCATATACCATTAGCACAGATGGGGTTACCATTCCATTATCATCCATTTAAAAAAAAAACCTCGCCTATTACCTCACACTTGTGTTTCATTACCATATACCATAACATAGATGGGCTTACTATTCCATTTTCATACCTTTAACATATAAAAAAAAAAACCACTCTAACAAATTTTCAGAAAAGAACTCAATGTTGTTAGAGAACATTTTTACTAGATTTTATTATAACGATGATGATGATGATATGACGGTAATTATAACTATGATGTGGTAAATAAAATAATTGTGCATTGAAATTGGCTTTGCAATAAATATGTCTACTCTAGAGATAGAATATTCCATTACGTACTTATCAAGCTAATAATGAATTAGGTTAATTAACTAAAGTTTAAACAAATAACAAACATTTTACTAATTTTTAAAGTCATTAAAACAAAATAATTGAAATATGATAATTATATGTATTTTTTTTTATACCACAAAAGTGGACTGAATGTAATTAAAAAGAAAAAATTTAATTCTACTGATTGTAAATAAATGTCATTGTAATTTTTAATTAATAATTTTTGAAATGATATTATGTAGTATCCTATACAATATATTTTGTGCTTTGGATAACAATAAATAAAAAAAAAAAATACAGCCCATCTGATGTTTTAAGTACTATGTTCCACACAATACTATTCCATACCATACCATATGTGCTGTTAAATGTCCACTATTGAACATAGGCATTCCCCACAAGCGAGGTTTTGCCAATAGTTGCCACTTGACATGCATGTTGGCAACCACAGTTAAGACTTTTGGTGATGTCTTAGAGGGGCACTGCTGTACATCCCTTGACTATTAAATAATTTACATAATAGTTACAGTTATTAATTATTTGTCAATATTGTAATTTTATCAAATAAAAAAAAAAACAAAAATAAGTATTTAACAATACCTTATTGGATAACCTAACCAATAAAGCATTGTTAAGTACTTAATTTTATTATTAAATTGGTCATTAACTATCCCCTGCTACATATGGGCTTCATCCATAAGTAATATAAGTACTTTAAATGTAAAATTAAATATTAAAATCTTTTGAGTAATTAATAAATAAATCAGTTGCTATGTTAAATAAAAAAAAAATAAAAAATAGAACCATTTAAAAACTAGTTTAAAAACATAACTTCTTGATAAGTGTTTCTATCATAATTATTAAAGCCTTTTGTCCACTGTTGAACATAGGTCTTCATTAAAATCCTAAATTATTGTATAGTGTTTCTATACAGTAAACAAAATTCTAAATTTGATTTATTTGCTATTATTTCTAGACTATTCTTTTTTTAATTTATAACATATTTATAATGTTATCATTATACTATCACTATTTATAGTATGACTTGCACTATATAGCATTATAAAAATTATACTTTGCCTAATTATGACATGTAAAAAATTATAACTGACACCCAATATTATGTGACATGATTCCAGACAAATTATCTTTTTGAAGACTAGGCAGCATGGTCTCCGACCTTAGCCTGTTCCAAACGGAACAAACGTACTAAAAAAAAAAAATTATGTGACATGTATGACACCTACTTAAAGATAAATGCAATTAATTTTTTAACAAAATGTCAGTTCATTGTTTATTTAAACAATACACATTTAAATATAATTTGCATAATTAATATTAAATGAACTTGAAACTGTTCGCTTATTAAATAAGAACTTTGTATCAAGCATTTAAAGCAGATAAAATACTCTATACTAAAAGCAAACCTGTTTTTATCAATAAACAATAGCTGTTTTGTTGTCAATATATTAAACTAGATATTATTATTAACTGTGTAAAATATGGTAGTTCTATTTGTATTAACATGGTATTTTATATTAGTTTGGCAAAATACCAACAGAACAATGAACTTCAAGATGACCTTAAAATGATAATGATAAATTGCCCATGGTGGGTATATAAATTATGTTTAATGCTAATTTTAATACATAGTTGTACCTATAGCCATTAGTAATAAAGAAAAAAGTGTCATTACTTAAAAAGGAAATATTAATATATATATATGGACAGCACTGTAGGTACATAGAATTAATATTGTCATAATTTGTCACATAGATTAGTATTATAAATATGTATAGTTAATTGACCATAATAGAATAAAGGACATAGAGGCGTAATGGGCGTAAGGCCGTAAGCCAGTGAAAAAAAAATGCGCAATTGAGACCATGGCCTAGATACGAATTACGAAATATTACATTCTCGCTACACGGAAGAGCAGTATCGTGCCGTGCGCTAACGTACTGCGAGTGTTTATCTACGTGTTATATATAGATACGTACGTAGTCCCACAGGGCAACACAAAGAAAAAATGCACGCTCAACTAAGATAACTGGTCAAAGCTCCCATCATTCATAAAACCATGAAAAGAATCATTACTCGTGACCTTGTAGGTAATTATCGGAAATAGGCTTTATTATACATACAACCCATATCGATTTTTTAGTAATCGTGACAATCAGCTGATAGGCCTTTGCCACTTATTTACATGGTGGTCTACCAACGCAATAGGTTCTTTGTATAACGATAACAAAGAAAGGGTACAGTTTGATGACATCTGTGTCCATACGACGTTTACCAGCACTGGGCGAGGACATTTTCGTGATCTATTTCGAATAAATCACAATATCGAGCACGAACACTAGCACAAAATCACACTCGTCGCAGCGAGACCAACTTTTCGTCCACCAGCAGCGATCAGAAAAATAACATTGTAGAAAAACAATGGACACAAACCATAGACTAAAATTTCGAAGGTGATGTGTAATGAAGCCGGTGTTGTCATTATAAAAAAGTATTTATAGCTGTTAACACAGCTGTTACTCCGTTATTTGCTAGTGTAAATCGGGCCTTATCCATAAACAATTAAAATGAGGAAGATTATGCGTCAAAAATAAAAATTAAAAAAACCAAAATTGTCTATGCATCATCATCAGAAACTTCGCGTGTGTGATTCTCTGAAATTATTTATATTTCAGTTTAATTATAGATTACCTTTTATTTAGACATCCGAAAGTTAGCGTAGACGGTGTTTACGTAAAGCTGACGCGCATTCGGCACGATATGAATACGGAAACATGTGTTTTGATGTGAACATTTAATGGTGATCATTGATGACACTTACAAGAATACATGTCAACAAATTATAATTTTATTGGAATAATATCCTGAGGTTCGTGTTTTTGGATAACATAAGCTCAGTTTCTGAGTTGTATGTATGGAAAGTGCGGTGTTATAGTGAGAAAGTGTGGGTTGATATTCTGAACTTTGCCATTTCCGGCAGTGATGCAGAGGTTGCGGTGAGCTGATATATTAAGCGTCTAACATCTTCGTTCCCGGCATGGCAGACCCAGGAACTGGGGTCTCTTTTGACCCAAATGATATGGCCAGGTAATTAGTATGTTTACTGAAATTTATAACCTTATCTACAAAAAATATATTTGATTCCATAAAGCAATTTTTACAAATAGATCCTTCAATTTCTTGATATTTTTAATAAATTGTTATTATAGTCTAAATTTGAAAAATATTTGACAATTAAATGCTTTGTTTTATTTTTAAATTTGCACATTTATAAGCTATAATACATATATTTCAGTGTCATCTCTTTTTCCCTATAAAAGCAATTTTATTTCTGTTTCAATTACAATCACTATTCATGTTATAGATATCACTTAGAAAGAAAAACATTTGTAATGGACTATTAAAACTGGTGTATGTACATATATCAGCAGCTAACCATCCACTACTAAATCTAACTCCCCTTTTCAGCTTTGGGCAGCAGCGTCCCTCTTAAAGCATCTCGAAAGCATAACTGCTGTTGCCAATCTGCCTGCCAAGCATGGCATTTACTGGCAAAATCTCCCAAAGGGGAGGCTTATTAAGCAGTGGACAGCTAAAGACTGATATGTTGATGATAAATAACTATAATAATATATAAATATGATAACACTACATTTCGTATTTCATAAATATAACATATATATATTTTTTTTTAATCAAGTTTTTGTTGAGGCTTTAGTACACCTGATTGACTATGCCAGCCTCATAGGGACTGTCTGAAAGTCAGTCTGTCAGTCCATCAGGGACACTTTTACTCACAGATATACCTGTTTTGCATTGCAACTGCCAGGTTGACTCAGTAGTAAATAAAAAAAAAATATTACTGTTATATAATCTATATATTGTATCTTTTATATAATCTATGTATTATTCTTTAAATGGTACAATAAAGAATAATAAATCAACTATCAGCCCATCCTGACATAACAGGGGTAGTTTGAGTAGGGAGCTTTAATTCTTTTCAAAATATGGCTTTCTGTTCATTGATAGTGTAGTTTTTTATAGATGATTTTTTTTTTTTAAGTATATTACATATTACAAGGAAAGAATCAAACTTTCCTCTTTATTTTAATTTATACAAATCCAACATATCAAGGGGATACTGCTGACTTATATAATTGATAAGGTTATAATTAACATTTATCAGTGTTGTAGTTTAATTTATGATAATATCTGTAAGATTTTTTTTTTTATAAAACTTATCTTTGTTATGAATGTAACTGTATATACAAATTTTCTCAGTAACCTGTTTCTGGTGTACAAGAGTTATATTGTATTAAATATAACTTGTTGGTTATGAAATATTAATAACTCTTTGTAAAAAAAATATACATAAATGATAGTAAAATCTGTATTAAAAAGCCTATGTTATACAATCTGCCACAAGCTAAAGTTTTGTCCCAACAATCTGAATGAGTGGTGGTCCTACACCGTGTGTTTCTGTAAATACTTTCTTTCATGTATAACCAAAGTATGGAATAAACACGCAGCTACTTGGGGGGAAAGTAATTGTTAGTAATGGATACTAAGAATCCCATTGCTAGCAATACATCCAACCAGGTCGACCTCCACGCGGTTCTCCCTGGAAACTATTATGGTCAATTCCTGATGAATTCATCATGATGGGCTAACTGGCCTGTTTTCAATCTCATCGATCACTTTTCACTGATGCCCTGCCAATATATACCATCAGCACAAGCGGGTTTACCATTCCATTTTCATCCATCAAAAAAACACCCAGCTGCTCAGTTCGACCTCCTTGTGGTTCCCCTTGAAAACCATTGTCATTGATTTATTGTAACTAACTGACCTGCTTCATCCTCATCAATCATCTGTCACAGGTGCCCCACCAGTGGATACAGATACCGCAGGCAGGATTACCATTCCGTTATCATCCATTAAAAAAAAACACCCTGATGTAATATTTACAAATAGATATGACATTGGAACCTTCATTAAAATAGTACATTCCTTTCTAAAAGGCCAGCAAAATGCCTGCATTTTTCTTGTGTTTGTTTCATCTTGTTTCAGGTGCTTATAGGTGCACCCATAACATTAGAGAAATTAAAGGCTTACTTACATACTCATATGAATAAAATCCATTGGAAAATGTTAGTGTAAAAGAAAAAAATTGGATACTGACTTTTTTTTATACTATATAATGATACTTAACTTTTTTTTTATACAACTTAGAATGGCAAACAAGCTGACGGTCCACCTGATGGAAAGTGGTAACCGTCACCTATAGACATGAGCAGTACCGTGGACATAACAGAGTATACTGTTTCACCCATGATACCCCCTATGCGTTGCCATTCCTGACTCAGGTGTTATTTCTCTGTATCCAGTAAATTCACGCCATATCCCACCCTTCAAACCGAAACACAGCCATGCAAACACAACTGCTTCACGGTTGAAACACGAATGGGACAGAGGTACCCAAGCAATCGACTTTATCTTAATTTATATTAAATAATTACTTAATCTTTAAATAGTATAAAAAAAGTAAGTAAGTAAAAACTAAGTACTAAAATTCAGCTCAGCACCACAGCCCCAAATATGACAAACATAAAAAGAATTTAGACCAAATATAAAATTAGGCTATTGAGTAAATTTACCAAACCATTTATTAATGGCGATTAATTGGTTATAGGCCCATTAATTTCACTCTATTTGCATATTAGATATATTTTGTCCTGTTTATAAAACCACTATGTTAAGTTGTACTATGCATTGTACTTGGAAAACCACAGTATGGGAAGAAGTAATTTAATTATTAAATCATGATGACTAAAAATCTCTGAGCCTTTGAAATGTGGTGCTGGAGAAGGATGGAGAAAATTAGCTGGAGAGATCGAATTAGCAATGAGGAGGTCCTGCTTAGGGTTAAGGAAAAAAGACAAATTATTAGAACTATTGAGGACAGAAGGGGAAAAATGTTGGGACACTTGATACGACACGACGAACTTATATGAACATTATAATAGAAGGTAAGATAGAAGGATGGAGACCGAGACATAGTTACATCAGGCAAATCAAAGAAGGAGTTGGTGTCGTGTCGTATCAAGAGGTGAAGAGACTCGCTGAAAATCGTAGTGAGTGGCAAGAGCTCCACCGACAAGAGCGCAGCTCTTAAATAGAGATAGATAGACTAAAAATCATCTGGGTACATGTCATATCTACTTTCTATTCCACTGTCGAACATAGGCCTCCCACATACACTTAATTCCTTATGGTAATTTACCATTGGGGAGATTTTGCTAATAGTTGCCACGATTGGTAGGCGGATTGGCAACCACAGTCTGGCTTGTGGTGATGTTTTAGAAGGATTGCTGTTGACCTTGACCATCCCTTGACCATAATTAATTATCTATCTATTATACTGTACTAGCGACCCGCCCTGGCTTCGCACGGGTGCAATGCTGGGCCTCTAGACAAGTGACAAGCGAATTCGTCAATGGAATCGACATTGCTAGCGAGTCCGTGGGAAATGAGATAGCAACGCCGGGTAACTCATTCCAACTCACGGACTCGCTATCGATGTCGATTCCATCGACGAATTCGCTTGCCACTTGTCTAGAAGCCCTGATACTAAATAGCGCCGCCGGTTCCCAAATTACATTACGACATTACATTAGAAACTTCTAAAATTGTCAGTATTCCTCTACAATATTATGCATGTATTATACATATAAACCTTCCTCTTGAAACACTCTATCTATTAAAAAAAAACGCTTCAAAATCCGTTGTGTAGTTTTAAAGATTTAAGCATACATAGGGACGGACAGACAGCGACAGCGACTTTGTTTTATACTACTCGTATGAAGTGATATTCCAAAATATCTATCTTTCAAATACATAAATTAAAAAGTAAAAACTTGCCATAGATACTGCTGACATTATTTATGTTCTCTTTGGTTTGTAAAATAAGGGTTAATCCTTTTTATACAACAGTTAATCTTTACTAATATTATAAATGTGAAAGTTGGATTGTTTGTTTACCTTACAGCACCTAAACTACTTAACCAATCACTATGAAATTTCTTATACACATACTATATGTGATGGTTCTCCATCCCATAGGGTATAGGTTTTTTTTTTATACAACTTAGAATGGCAAACAAGCTGACGGCCCACCTGATGTAAAGTGGTAACCGTCGCCTATAGACATGAGCAGTACCGTGGACATAACAGAGTATACTGTTTCGTCCATGATACCCCCCATGCGTTGCCATTCCTGAGGACTCGGGTGTTATTCCTCTGTACCCAGTAAATTCACGCCACTCAGGTTACTTTGTGTTCCAATCAGTACACATATCCCAGTCACGCGGACGAAGTCGCGGCTAAAAGCTAGTTATTAAATTATTTCTAAACACATAATAATAAATAGTTTAAATTGTAACCTAACTTCTGCCTTAATATTCTTGAAACACTAATGTCCATGAACTGGATTTGTCTTCGAAGTTTGCAGTCAATAATACGCCTTTCATTATTTCGACACTTAATCTCGATTCTGCAATAAAATATCGAATTTATTTATTTAATTATATTGATGATAACAGAACACTATTTTTTAAGTTACTAAATATAAGCTCACGGCTCTTATACAAGATGGGATAGACAGATGTTTTATTGTTAAATATTTCTTTACATTATATTTTATTCGAGAATGCTCGATTAGTTTCGGGACCACCCGGGTTCTTTAATCATGAGCAGCCGTGAAAACAGCGCGCGCTTGAGATGTATTATTGTCAACTGTAACACATTGACTGGACTCTCACATGTTTCGCTCATTTCTAATCTAAAGTGCATAAAGATTATCTGCTATAAAAAAAAATACTACAATAATGACGAAATTACTATGGGAGCAAGGGGGGAAAGGGATTGTTAGTAATAAGTTCTAACAGCTCCATTACTAGCAATATTATACCCTATCAGGTTGATTTCCACGCGGCTCCCCCTGGAAATCATCGTGGTTAATTCATGTCAAATTCTTCACTATTGGTCGGCTGACCGGCTTTCATCCTCGCCTATCATCTATAACTGGT